AGAAGACAGAAATCTTCATACTCACTGCTGTGAAAACCTCAAATCTTTTTTCTTTTATTTTCATACAATTAATGTTTGTACTACTTATCTATTATATGGATGTTTATTTATCAAATATCTTTTGAGTGTGTGTTTTCTAGTAAAACAGTCATATGTTCACAATTAAATTAAACTTTCAAATGCTCTTTTTATTACTCAATGATGACACCCGAACAATGATTGTAACCTTGTTCTAACATGCCTCAGAACAATTTCAAAGTCTGCTTCCATGTAACTGGATTAACCAGCTTTTTGAAAACCAGCCTTACCATCTGAACTCATGTATAATCCTTAAATGGGAGTCCATTGTAACTGGGATGATAATGAATCAGGAGTTCACAGAGATAACAGTCAGTATTATAAAATATGTTAGTTATCAACAAAACACACTGTGATATGGAAAAACAGACTATGTTTTAATAATGCTGATAACATACTGGTGATTGCATAAATGAACAGCACCCATTTTTAAGCATCCAATGTTAGAATTTTAAAATTCCTATTGTCTTATTAAAATGCACTTGCAAATATCAACATTTTTGTGTGTTGTGTGTCTGCCTGAGGACTGAAACAGTATGTTCCATTGAAATGTAGGTATAAAGCCAAATTTCCACACAATGTAACAATCCTGAAGATAACCATCCAAATTAATTATTTTTCATCTTGTTTCACCAAACGAAAATATAAAAAAATGCTTAATTTTCGACATCAGCCACAGGGTTCCAAGAATATGTTTATATGATCATAAGTTTCAAACGCATGTGTCAGAGGGAACAAATTATAAGAAAATAAAGAAAAAAACCATTTACTCTTTAAACATATAACTTCCACTCCATCCAGTTCTTACAATAGTGGCTCTACTATACCTATTATTTCGTCTAGGAATCTCTCAAACACAGGATCCTGCTCCGTCTGTTCGACTATGGTTTTAATGGTTTGGTTCAGCTCTTGTAGCATACCATCACATGACCCTGTAACTACAATGGGATTTTCTGCATTGCTTGGCTCTGCAGTTACATTTGATGAGAGGTGGCTTCCAACATTTTCCACAGTCTCCCCTAAAACAGGCTTGTGAATCACCCTGTTAATGTTTTCTGCAATCTTCTTGTGAAGCTCCTTGTTGTCCAACAGAGCTTGAGTAAGTGCCTACAAACAGACCAAGATTACATTCCGTTACACCAATATGGAAAGATAGGAATTTCTCAAATCCAGGACTAATATCGTATTACAAACCCAAAAGGATCCATCTAAAAAGAGTGGCAAACATTTACTCTGGTAAGTGAGACATTTAGACAATTTTGAAATTTTTTTTATAATACTGAGGGCCAATGCAATAAAAAAATTTGAACAAAAATACATCCATTCATTTGCTACTTCATCACTGTTATGCCAAACACAGTAAAATCTGCATTTAATGTTTCTCTAGGAACCTGAAGATTTGAACACTAAATTCAGGAATGGAATTTAAAACTGAAATAACTGGGCTGGAACCACAAAAACTGAACACTAAATGAAAGGAAACTTTAAATTAAGAAGCACTAAACAACAATTCCACCACAATTAATATGATGTACTATGTTTTCTTTCTTTTTTTATTCTCACAGAGAGATTACATTTTGAAGAATCACATTAAATACATTTCATTCTTTCATTTTTTAAACACCAAAGAAAATAATAAAGTTTCTGTTCAGCTACAAATCAATGGCTTCACTCATCATTCATCACGTACAAACAAGCCAGTTACTTCTGTAATGCTAACTTACAGAAAAATCAAGGCTTTCACTGGATTCATTATCATCAGAGTACGAACACCTCACTTTAGGTGGGGTATGGCTCTTCACTGGTATGTTGATGCCTTTCGCTGGAGTGGGGTTAGAACACTTCCTCTTTGTGTTGTACACGCTGGAACACCATATTACAAGGCAAGATTTAAGAACAAAATTCAACCAAATATCACTTTCAAATTCCAGTTTTAATTATGTTAGTATCTTATACCACCACTTAATGGT